CACACCTGGCTAATTTTTTCTTTTTCTTTTTTTGTATTTTTAGTAGAGATGAGGTTTCACTGTGTTAGGCAGGATGGTCTTGATCTCCTGACCTTGTAATCCACCATCCGCCATCCGCCCACCTCAGCCTCCCAAAGTGCTGAGATTACAGACATGAGCCACCGCTCCTGGCCTATATGAAAGTTTTTAATAGTGATTTTTAAATGACTCTTTTATATCTCTTCCCTTTACGTAAAATACTAGAGTAACACTGACATGAAGTTATGTCATGAGAATCCTAAAATAAGAAAAAAAAAAAAAATGACAGGACTTACCTCCGACCTGTGCAGTTTTTGAGTAGGCTCCTGACAGGTGTCCATTCATACCAACATTATAATCACCTTTAAAATATCGATTCAGAAGTATCTTTCTTAATGTGTTACCCTAATAAGAAGGATAACAAAGAGTTATTATTTCCTTTTCTAATAAAAGTGAAAAATGTCAGTATGTTAAATGCCTTAAATGCATTTTGTGAATGATGTTGAGGCATGGAAAAATTAACTTCATACAAGATATTATTTTCTGAGGCAAAAATTTAGTAATGCATTCCAATAAAATAATAATTTTGCTTCTCATAATAAATAAAGGGGGTGGAAGCAGCTTTTTGGAGGTGATGAACAGGTTTATGGCATACATTGTGGTGATGGTTTCACAGTGTATACTTATCTCCAGTCTCAAGTTGCACACATTAAATACATACAGCTTTTTGTATGTTAATTAATCACAATTCAATAGAGTTTTAAAATAATTTGATACTGCCAAAAATAAAAAATAAGAGTATGCTCAATAGAATGTATTAGAAAAATCACAAATGCTATAAATTTAAGATTGCTTCAAAAGCTGAAGTTCCCAGAGCTGGGGAGTATCAGTTGCCTAAAGAAGACTCAGAATAATAAACACCTAAGAATTGGAAAGCAAAGGACTTAGGTGGAGGAGTTTAGTTAAAAGAACCAGAAAAGAGCTGGGAATAGAGCAGGTGCTCAAAAAATTAAGCTTGATAAAATGGACTAAATTATATTTAAATTCCAAAATGCTTTATTCAGAAGACCATAGGCAAAAGACAGTGTATTACTCTACAAATTTTATAATCCAAAAATTCCTGTCTTCAATTTTGTACTGATTATAGGACATTTGTAAAATAACACACTATATAATTGCTTGTATGTACATAAGAAACATGGACAACTCCAAATCTTTTCTTTTATTGGTATATGTCCAAATCTTCTCTTTTATTGGTATATTATTTTAATTTAAAAAGTGATTTAAAAGCATTATTTAAGGAATACTTGTTTAAGCTATTTAAATTAACACAACAACTACAGAGGTGTTATTCCCACATTGCAGGTAAGGAAACTGTGGCCTAAGAGCTTAGGTAATTGGCTGCAGATCATGCCAGGTGATTGAACAACACCTGACTCAACTCTTGACTACAAAATCCAGCCATTTCCTCATGCCATGCTGCACCCAACCTTCATGCTGTGCCATGTAGCTCTCATTACTCCTTCACTTTCTCATATTTTAGTTATTCTCTCTCAAGTTCTTCAGGTATTCTCCTCAGTTCTTTTGTTGTGCTCCTCTCCTGGCTGGCAACTTCATTTGATCCTTAGTTGCACAATCACTTCTGCTGGTCTGCCTGCCAGATGGGTTTCCTCCAGCCTGGACCTTGCTTTCCTAAGCTTCTCATTCTGTTTCTGCTTATATTTCCTTACCTGTGTCTTGAGGTTCCACTGGCATCTCAAACTCAATTTGCAAAACAGAATATTCCTTCTCTTTCAAACGTTTTCCCCTTAATTTTAATTTCTTTTAAGAAGATCACATCGAAGCCTTCTATGTCTTTCCTTCACTCATATTCTATTCATTGCCTGAAATGATCTTCTTTCATCTTACTCATGAACAGGTTCTACCTTCCCTCTTCATTCTACAAATATTCATTAGGTACCAATTGCTTTAGGCACCATCCTAAGTCAATAAGATATGACCCTCCCCTCAAAGAGTTTACAATGACATGAGCACAATAATATAAACATCCACCAGGTCTTCTGAAAGCATAAGAGGAAGCAGTTGACTAAGGAGGTTGCAAATGGCATAGCCTCTCTACTAACTTATGTGATCATCAGACAGACCTGTATTATACATAGTTAATGCTCAACTAACATGTCCTAAACGTCATAGTGCCAGAATTTTTGAGACAGATTCTCACTCTGTCACCCAGTCTGGAATGCAGTGGTGCAATCTCGGCTCACTGCAACCTTCACCTCCTGGTTCAAGCAATTCCCCTGCCTCAGTCTCCTGAGTAGCTGGGATTACAGGTGCATGCCACCACACCCAGCTAATTTTTTTGTATTTTTAGTAGAGATGGGGTTTCACCATATTGACCAGACTGGTCTCAAACTCTTGACCTCAGGCAATCCGCCCACCTCAGCCTCCCAAAGTGCTGGGATTACAGGCGTTAGCCACCGCACCCGGCCAGTGCCAAGAATTCTAATAGACACTCAGAATGTCTGGAGTTTGCCTATCCTTATAGCAACTTTTATTGATTGGTGCTTATATTCTTAGAAAACAGACATTTATTACTGCTTCCTATTTCATGTTTTCTTTCTTTAAGACCTTTTCATAATGGGGTATAGATAAGTAAAGGTGATGACTAGTCTCAAAAGAAATAGCGAGGTATAAGGTTTTATTCTGCCAAAGAATACAAATATAGTATCTACTGTCCCTTATAAAACTTAAGTACAGCACCTAGAAGAAACATAAGAAATGAAAATAGTGCTTACTTTACCTTTTGTTAAAGAGAAAGTCCTTTGAGTTGAATTAATTCCATTTGGCCAAAGAATATTTCTTACAAAAGTAAATGAAAAACAAAATAAAGCATTTCTTTGGAGTCAATGTCTTTGGGCATTTACTGTGACTCTCATTATAGTAGAAGGAGATGCTATGAAAAATCTTTTAGACCCCTAAACTACAGGGTTGAAGTTATGAGTTGGGGAGAAAAATGTGAGGTCATATTAACTGGAGCACTATTTTTTAAAGTGTAGCTCAGTTTGTTGTACTATTCACTGGATCTCACCTCTACAGGCCACTCACTCTAACCCTGTAGGAGACAGTTGGCCCACTTGTAATAACCAAAGCTGACAATGTGAAAATCCAGGCCTTTTTGTTGAAATTGCACAAGTCGGCATCACTGTCTGAAAGGGAACCTGTTGTGAAGAGGACTGAACCCTTGTGAACTAGCTCCCTTTTTAGTCTCTGCAAGAATCTTTTATTTATTACTATTACTATCATTATATAGAGATAGGGTCTTGCTATGTTGCCAAGGCTGGAGTACAGTGGCACATTCATAGCTCACTGCAACTGCACACTCCTGGCCTCAAGCAATCCTCTCACCTTGACCTCCCAAAGCTCTGGGATTACAGACATGAACCACTGCACCTGGCCCTGGAAGAGTCTTTAATTACACTTTTTTAAAAATCACACTACTGTAAGAGCCCAACCAAGTGATAAACAAATAAGTTTGTTGTTTTTTTTTTTTAAGAAGAAATAGAAAACTTTTTTTACCATTTACTTTTTTAAATGCTCTTTATGCTGCTAGAATAATAAAACTATTTAAAACCAATCAAAGAGTAGAATTATGTAACACCAAATCAAAAATAAGCATCATATTTGTGATTATTTTTAAATTCCCTTCAGCAGATAAAATCACAGGTGCCTATCAGATTCATAGACAACAAAATCAAATGAGCAACATTCTCCTTATTCAATTATAGCCCAATGAAAGCATCTATTTCCTCACTATATAATATTCAGAATGCCACAGAAAAGGCTGGGGCTTCCTATTTTCTCTGTTCTCAACTCTGAAGCCACACTGCCTGGATTCAAATCCCTTCTATGCCATATACTAACTGGGGATCTTAAACAAGTTACTTCCTCACCCTGTACCTCAGCCCCTCAATTGTCAAATGAAATTGTTAATTATCTACTCTCAGAGGATTTCTGTGATAATTAAATAGTTAAAATTTACTGAAAGTACTTGGAACAGTTCCCAGCAAATAGTAAGTGCCATATAAATTGTGCATTGTTGTTATTATCCCTGCTAGTATTAATAATACCCAGATCGTGGGAACAGGCTACAACTTGCAAAGTGCTTTTTCAGACACTTTCTCATATAATACCAAGCCTTTCCGCAAAAGTAAAATAAACTGCCAGCATACTAAGAAAATGGCAAAAATTATAAATGATAAACTGCCCCCAAATCCTAGCTTTTTAACTATTCATCAGTCCTTAGAATTATACACTTATTAGCTAACATGGCAAAGTCACCCTAAAGCATGAATATACTTCACGATATAAAATGTACCCTTACAACTTCAACTAAAGTTGGAACAAATTCTATCTTGGTTCAAACTTCAGTTTTGTGCTAAGACAAACTCTAGTGCTAAAAATGATTGATGAATAGGGTACAAACAGAACAAGATTCTGTTATGTCTTAGTGATCTTCATTTAAGAATAAAAAAAATTCAGGTATTGCTACATCACAAGTTCAGCAGAAACTGACTTCTCTTGTCGACTATCAAGTTCTGACTAAAGGAGTGAGAGACAAGGACTGTGTCCCAGTTTGCTTTGGGGCATTCTTGATAGTTGGCACTCTCTGTGCAGTGGTGGTAGTTTAAATGTGAGTCATTTCTCCAAATTACTTTAATTCAAAAGACACTGTAAAACCATTGCCAGAAATTCTGATGCCAGGGTTACAAACAATTGTCTCAGTACTATAATTGCCATGGCAGAAATTAGGGACGAACTAAAAGCACGTTAGGCCATTGTGAAAAGAATTTCACCACAGTTGAGAAGTTTGACTTCTGTGCTGGTTCTTCAAACCCAAAATGCATTCCTGATGAGCCTCCTGTGGGAGGTCTCTCTGTTGGGTGAGGACAAGCAAGGAATGTCCTTTACAGCCTTTTCAGTACCAGAGTCAATTCCAGGCCACAAGACACTACTTTTAGCCAATGTCTTCATGTGAACACATCCCAGATGTGCTAAATGTAATGTAGCCAAGATAACTAACAACCACCTTCTGAAATTACAAAATATCTCCATAAAAAGTCATCTTTTGTGGCCAGAGAAGTCATGCTGACGGTTTGTGAATATCTGGGAGGATTGGGTTTTTCCTGCCCACTCCCTATTATGCCAAGTCCAATGCATCAAAAATTAAAAAGCTCAGAAATCATTGCTTTTCATGGATAGGAAAGATAATCAAATTTACACATCCTAGAAAGGACTTAAATTTTGTTTCGTTTTTGAGGAAGCACAAGTCCATTTGCCTTAATGGGGGTTAACAGCCTTAGGAGTGAAGAGTTCAGGGATATGTGATATTTGAGGTACAGATACCC